AAGAGCGGTGCAAATTGTCGAAGCGCAACAAGACAAATAGACGTGGCGCAGTTATAAAAGCGCGCGTTGCTAAAGGTCGTAAGGATGAGCGGGAGCCGTGCAAAACCTCGGTGGATAGCGTCGGGAACGACGACGGGGCGAAATAAATGGCGATCGATTGACAAGAAGGCCGCTTTATGCCTCCTCGAGCCGGGCAAAATCGCGTCACGGGCTACGGCGCCGTAAGCCAGGGTAACGCGCTCACAAAAGCCTAACGAGACGTGGCTTACTCCTCCGCGCGCTTTCTTATCGGACCTCCTTATCTCCCGGCTTCGGCTTTATGTTTATTTATTTATTTATATAGACAAGCGGAGCGGCACGACGGCGGCGAACGTCGATCGGTTGTCGCTTGTCACTTGTCAACCGGCGTCAACCTTCTTTCGGCCTGCGCGATGACGAAATCGCGAAAAGAGAGCTACTGCCGATCACGCGAAGAACGCATTTCTTGGCTTCCCTTCGTCGTCGTCGTAGTCGTTGTCGTAGTCGTCGTCGTAGTCGTCGTTGTAGTCGTCGTCGTCATCCTAGTCGTCGTCGTCATAGTCATCGTCATAGTCATCGTCGTCGTCGTCATAATGGTCGTAGTTGTCGTCATAGTAATCGTAGTCGTCGTCATAGTCGTCGTCGTTGTCTTCTTCTTCTTCTTCTTCTTCTTCTTCTTCTTCTTCTTTTTCTTTTTAACCTCGGACGCTACCGCCCTCCTTGTTTAAGAGCTCGTGCGGCCCGAGTCGCTCCGGCACTCAAGATAATCCCAGGCGAGCGATCGATTGTCCGCTCGCTCCCTATACCTTTTACACGCTCTTTTCGAGATATTTAATTGCGCGTTCTCTTGTGATAATTCCCCGCGATTTGAGCGTAAGCTGCTGCCGTCGCCGCCACCGCCAACGTTTTACGTTGTGTAAGATCGGACTTTGTTGGATCCCCTTTCTCGGACTATGAATATCAAAGCCAACTAGCGAGTTACATTCTATCTCTCACCCATCTCCCTCTACTTCCCCCCCCCCCCCCCCCCCCCCCCCCCCCCCCCCCCCACCCCCCCCCGATTGCTGTCTCCTGACACGCTCTCCTCGTCCCATTTGGATGATTAATTCGTAATAATTTGACTTCCGTAGGGTAATTTTATCATTTACGACCGGTAAATAGGGTATTATATTTTGCTTCGCCCACGCATGATAAAACAGAGAAATTCATTCGCCATTCCTTATGTATTCTGTCCTATTGATATATGGAGAAACTTATCGAGCAGTTATTCCTTCGTGCTCGTTCGAGTATGCGTAACGTGTGCGTGTCAAGAAATTTCATTCGCATATTATTGTTGTTATTTTTATTATTATCTCTCTCTCTCTCTCTCTCTCTCTCTCTATATATATATATATATATATATATATATATATATATATATATATATCACGAGCGAGCATTTTAATCAACGAATGATAAGTAGCACCGTCCTGTACATATTGATATTATTAAGGGCACGTGATACTTGATGGAGACGCTGTCCGAAATTCCATGTTAGTTAAGCTATAAAATCGTTTACCTAACGTTGCGCCATTTACCTTTAAAGTTTATTTACGCTCAATATTTTAGCGGCACATACGCCCTATTAGCCGTCCATATCACTTAATGATTCTAATTACTAAACGCTGCCACTTACGAGAGAGTCTCCCCCCCCCCTCACCCACCCATCCATCCCAAATTTACTTTTCGGCCGAGAGCAACAAGACTTAATAAGGTGTTGTACACAAATTTCAGCAAATATTTCAAAGGGACCTCGGAAACGCATTATTATGCACTCCTCCGATAAATTTCAAACTTGTAATTGATTGTAATTGATATTGACTTGAATAAGGATGGTTCGGGCAGACATTGCAGGTTAAACTTTGGCCACATATTCAGCAAGAGGCGTTCAAGTGCTCGCGCCCGGCCAATCAAACATGAGAAAATATGAGACACACGCTCACACCAATTAGTCGTACAATTAATAGAAACATCTCGGTCTTACCTGTATCCATGGCGACGATGGTGAGAATGTACTCGGAGACGCGCTCTCGGTCGAGCGGACGTAGCAGGGAAATGTCACCGGTGCTGGCGTTGATGCGAAAGAGGTCGGTGTCACCCTCCTTGAGGAAGTAGCGCACCTGATCGTTGTAGGGCGGCGTGTCCGCGTCGTAGGCCATTACCTGAATTTTCAACGAAAGTCCATGATCCGATGAGCCCCGATGAGCAAAACGTCACGAGCGTTTTCCCCGATCGTATTAGGTATGGCGCTTGGCTATTGGAGCGTTACGCGCGCTTAAAGTGATCGAGGCGCTGGGGACGCTGATTTTTACGGGGCCGACGACGATCCCAACGGGGGGAAATAAAATTTTATTAAGCATATTAGTTTATCGCGCGAGCAATGAGGCTTATGGGCTCGAGCGAACGAGCGCCTCCAGCTGAATAGCCGAGTGCTTAATTCAGGGAATAAATCGAAGGGAGTGAGTCCCATTTCTCGGAAACGGAATTAAAGCCTTAATGTCCGAGGGCAGGAAAAAATTCGCGAGATAAAGGGTCGCGATTCTTGAAAAGGCTGCTTTTCAAAATGAGTTAAGATTTAATTAACACGGCCCAACGTACAAGGTAATCGTAGGAGATTCGCGCGCCGATATATCGAGCCAAAGAGCCATACCGAATGCAAAACAAATGGAATGAAATTTTCCAGCGCCTCGTACCTTCGCTCCTCCTCCTGTTCTCCCTCCCGCCCCTCGAATCCCTCCGCGACTCGCTTACTTTTAATCGCCGGCGGTCGGCGATAAATAGAAATCGCGCGAGGCGTCTTCGATGCCGGAGCTCGTCTTATTTCTCCCAATTATAGCCATAACGAGCGATAAAGTGTTCGGAGGCGCGAGGCGTCCGCGGAAGGTCGTAAATGCTGCGGTTAAGGTCAATCGCCCACATTACTCGCAGGCTTACCTGCATGACGAAGCCAGCCGAGGGCGGCAGCATGTTCTCCATGACGTGGGCGAGGTAGGGCGAGTCGAGGAAGACGGGCACGTTGTCATTGATGTCGAGGAGTCCGATCACGACCTCAGCGACGTCCAACCGCGACTGCCCGCCAAGCTCCTGGGCGCAGTCCTCGGCCTGGACACGCAGTCGGTAGCGCGGCTTCCGCTCGTAGTTCAGGTTCTTGGCGACCCTGATCACGCCGCCGTCCTCGGAGATCGTGAAGTCGCGATTGTCGTCGCCGGAGGCGATGCTGTAGCGCACCCGGCCATTCGCGCCTTCGTCTTGGTCGCTCGCCGACACCTATTACGAGCAAAAGGCCCGACCTGATCAGTCGACACGTTCGGGGGAGGCTGGTGATGGTGCTGAACTACAGGGGCGAGAGGCGGCGATCGCTGATGCGGGGGCGTGAGGTACGGGATGGGAGATAGGGCGAAGAATTGGGTGGTGAGGTGGGCGGGGGAGGGTATGGGGGAGAAGGGTTTATCAGGGTGGTCAGAAAGAGGAATCGGGC